CCCTGGCAGTGCTGGGGGTGCTCAGCACCCCAAAACACAACCCTGGGACGTGGCCTTTGGGTCCTACTCTTGACACGCGCTAGAAACAGCCTCGGTGGCACAGAATTCACCGTGGTACCCACGGCCAGAGTCAGAGGGGGAGAGTTTGACTCCCTCGTCCTCCTTCTCTTTCTCCTCCTCTTCCTCCTCCTTCTCCCTGCTGTTGGTTTTCCTCCCTGCAAACGCTGGGCTGGAAGCGAGCACAGCGCGCTGGCAGCCCCAGGAGGGGCTGGGGAGCAGGGATGGGCGCTGCTGGCAGTGGGGCACAGCCGGGAGCTCTGGCAGAGGCTGCCCAGGCGTGCAGGGGGCAGGGGAGGGCCAGGGGAGGCAGCCAGGTGGCTCTGCCGGTGTCCCCGCGCCGGGGCTGGGCTGGCAGGCGGCTCCACGTGAGGCTGCTGGCACTTGCTCCTCATCCCTGCCAGTTTCCCCAAACCACCCTGCTTTTTCCCCTCCCACCCTGCTTTGGGGCACAGCTGGGAATCCCACGGCCAGGATGCTCCTGTCCCTCGGAAAGCCCTGCCTGAGAGCTCAGCTCTCTCTGAGGTTATTTCTGTTGTTGACGTTTTTTCTCGACACTTCCCACACTTTTTGTGAAATCTGGACCCGTGTTACTGCAAACTTCTCCCTCCTTCCCCCACTCCGGTTTGCTTTAGCAACAGCTGAAGGAAAACCAGAAACAATGGGAAAGGAGCTGTGAAAACATCTCTAAAACCTTTGCAGCCCTGATGGCAGCATGAGAACTCTCCCTTCTCCGGGTACCTGCAGCTGGAGGGAGATGGGACCTGTCAGAAATGACACCTGCAAGGCTTGATAAAAATGTCAGAAATTAGGAATAACTGCTGCAGGCACTGCCCTGCTGCTGTTGCAGGCTTTCCTCTCAGCAACATAGGAAAGAAAACACCTTTACTGTGATTTATTTTTTAATTTGAAAGCATAATTGTGCAGGGATCTGGGGGCAGGACCTGGCGTTGCCTTAGTGCAGCCTTTGCCACTGGCTGCGTTTCAGGATCTCGGTGCCCCTTTCCCTCGTTCTCCCAATGCTCCCAGGAAGAGCTGCAGCCCTGAGGAGCAGCTGTGCCTGCTCTCAGCTGCCTGTTCTGGGCAGGGCAGGATGGCTCTGGGGCCAGCCCGTGCCTCCATCTCCTGCCAGTGGCCACAAGCTGCATTCTCCATTGAGGTTTTCCCCTCAGCCCCACCTGCTCTCCCCAGGTGAGGAGAGGGATCCCACCAGCCCTGCCCAGCCCCTGAAGGGCAGCACGGCTCCTTCCTCCAAGCTGTGTGTCCGTGGGCAAACCACTGTGGGAAGGGGCTGACAAAGGGAGCAGAGACCCCAACCCCGACCTCTGGGAGCCCACAATGCCTCTTCCATCACCATGGAGGCAGGAGCTCCCAGGAGCTTCACTTGGAAAACAGGATGGGAGTGTTTGAGACCTGGGAGCTTGGAGGCCCTCGGGATCCTGGGCTCGGCCTGGGCTGGGATGGCAGCACTGGGGTTGCACTGGGATTGTCCTGCTGGGTGATGGGGGAGCTGTGCTGGGACAGCAGCCGGCTCAGGGGAGCTCCTGGACACGCAGCAGGGTATGAACCACCCCAGATGCACAGCACAGAGCCCCGTAAATGTGGGATATGCAGTGCCCATGGGATATTTGCCACGGGAGACTGAGCATGCCTTGGGTAACCTGCGTGCTAAAACCAGAACTTGCATGAGAGTCAGTGAAACAGCACACTTTTATTATTTTCTGTTTTTCTGAGAGAGATTTTTCACTTCCTGCCCAAGCCCTGGCTGGCAGTGCTGCAGCTCCCAGAGCTGTGCCCGCCTTTGCTGGGGGAGAAGGGTTTATATGGAGACCTGAGTTTATGTGGAGCTTCCTGCAGGCTTCCTGGGACAGACAGTACCCAGGGGTTAAAGCTTCATCACAGCCTGTTTATGTGCTGACAAGGAAATGTGATGACAGAGAATCCCAAACAACTTCAAAGCAAGATTTGTGGATCTGATATGGAAACTATTCCGAAAGTCCAGGAGAGTCTGTCACTTGTGTGGATGCACAGCCAGGGCAGGACCCATTCCCAAAGCCCAGCCTGGCCCTGTGCCCACCCCAGTGAGCCCACAGCTCCTGCCCTGGAGAGGGAATTTGGGCTAAAGTGCTGCTCCCTGTGCATCTCCTTAGGCAGAGCGAGGAGCAGCACTCACTCCTCATCCACGTCCTGTGCTCCCCCCAGGTGTCCTCCCTTGGCATGGACAGGTGACAGCCCTTGAGGGTGGGCGGTTTTGGTGCCATCACCTGCTGCACTGGGGCTGGTTTTGGACCCTCTGCTGTGATGGGAAGCTGAGGAAGCTGAAGCAGGGGAGAGGGGGACGCTGGTGTCCCCACTGTCGGTGTGGCCACGGGCAGTGACAGCACCGTGACTCCACCGTGTGATGGGTTTATCTCGTGTCCTGTACCAGCGAGTATGAGGCCACATGCCAGCGAGGGAGCGAGTTCTCAGCTATAAAAAGCTTTTGTTTTATCCATAGCTGCTACTTGAGCTCTCAGCCTCACTCTCTGTGAGCAAGCAGAGTCCATGTGCCCTCAGATGTGTCTGGGATCAGCTCAGGCATCTGTTTCCTCTCTCTGAACACATCCGTGGGCACCAGGAGCTCCATGTGCTGCCCAGCAAGGAGATGTCTGTTCCCTGCATCCCAGGTCTCCCCAAGCTGGGATCTCCCCTAAATGATTCTGATTCTCTGTGTGTAAAGAAGTATTTTTAAATACCCATTGTTTATCCTGTAGCAACAGCCAAAGGAACTGCACTGATCCATGGCATAAACATATTTTTCCAGAGTTTTTTTAACAACACCTGACCCGCTGGTTTCCTGTGGCATTTTGCCAGGGCTGGCTCTGCCCCTCCCATTGCCAGTGGCCGTGCAGGTAGAGCCAAGCCAGCGGTCTGGCCCGTGGCAGGGATGGGAAAGGGAAGAGGATGCTTCCCCTGGGGAGAGCCCCAGTCTGGACAGTCTCCATCCCTGTGGGGGCTTGGATCCAGGCTCTGGAGCAGCAGGGATGGCGTTGAGGGCTGGGTGAGACCCGGTACCTCTGTGCTTCAGCTTTTCCAGCTGTAAAACTGGGACAAAGATACGGGGCCACGTTACTTCCCTGGCAGCGATGGGAGGCCTGGGACTCTCCCTTCCTCTCCCCAGTCCTGTCTGATCCCTGGGAACGGGGCAGGACGTGGAGCCCTGTCCGGGACTGGCACTGATGTGAGTTCCAGGGAGAAGCCGTCGGGATGGGGGGCTGGGGCCTGCTTGGCCCCTCGGGAGCTCCTGGCTGTCTGTCCTGCTGTGGGCAGTGTGTCTGTCCATGGCTCAGAATGCAGGGGCAGCTCCCTCCTGGGCACGGCAGGGTGAGGAAGGCCAGAAAATGCCGTGAGGGACTGTCTGCAGGAAAACAGGCTGTAAAATCGCTAGGGAGGGGTCTGGCAGCCCCTTTGGTGTGTGGAAGCCAGCACACAGCCCAGCTCTGCAGGGCCGCTGGGGCTGCCAGGGAAGTGCAGGCAGGGATGGGAAGAGGAGACAGGGATGGAAAGAGGAGGCAGGGATGGGAAGAGGAGGCAGGGATGGAAAGAGGAGGCAGGGATGGGAAGGATGGGAAGCAGAGGTGAGGATGGAAAGGATGGGAAGCAGAGGTGAGGATGCAAAGCGCAGGGAAGGGTGGGAAGCCAGCAGCAGCCCTGGTCACTGCAGGGTGGTGGCAGGGCTGGGCATCCTGCCCCACTCCTGGCCTTTGGTGACTCCACACAGCCGACTCCCAAGCCCTCATTATCCAGGGACGTTCCCACGGATGCTCTTGCTTTACTTTCGGACACAAATCCAGCCCCGTGTGCTGACATCCTCTGCAGCTGGGTGTGCAGCCCCCTGCACACGCTGTGTCTCTGCCTTGGGCCGTTCTGGGGCCAGCACAAACTGCTCTGTGAACAATAATTCCTAGCTCGGTCCCAGCCAGCAGAAAATGGCTGAGTGGGATCAGATCAAGCCTTTGGCCAAGGGCTTTGAAAATCCAAAACAGCCTTGTAAAGATCAAGCTCGTAAAACCAAAGGACTCTGCTTTCGTAGCTCATGAATGGGAAGAAATGCCAACCAGATCATTTTTACACATATTTTTTCCGTCTTTGTCAACATTCCCCCATTTGGCTGAAACTTCAAACTGCCACATTTGGAGACCGTCTGTTTTAGAAGTTCCAGTATTTGTATAAATAACTGATAGGGAAAGATGATCCACTCTGGAGTCTGCCACGGGCCCCTGGGAGCAGTGATGAGGCTGTGGAGCCTCCCAGAGTTTTGGCAGTTCTCCAGTGCCAAGTGAGTGGGGCAGGAAGCGTGGCTGAGGGTCTCCAAACACCAGCACCCACCCAAACTCAGGAAGGGAAGCAAGAAAGATCTCCTCCATCCACCGGGAAGGAGGTTCAGGCAATAAATATGGAAGTGAAATGGTGACTGTGACCCTGGTTGGAAGCGGGCTGTCACCTTGCCAAGCCCGTGCTGATGTCGGGGGAGGGGGACAGTCTCTCCTGGACAGGGAGAGGCTGAGCAGAGCGCACGGGGAGGGGATGGCGAGCACGGCAGGATGCAGGGTGAGTGGAGAACAGGGACACATCTGTGGGACTGGGCACTCAGAGAGGGACTGGAGGGCACAGGGAGGGAAGGAGAGCACGGAGAAGGGCGGGAGGGCTCGGCGAGGGTCTGAGAAGTCCGGCGGGGATGCCGGGGGGAGCGGGGCAGGCCGGGGCAGCGCGTCCGGGGGGAGGAGGTGCTCCCCTTCCCTCGCCCTCCCGAGCGGGCAGCCCGGGGCCGCCCCGCTCCTTTAAAGGCTCCTCCTCCGGCGCGGAGGGGACCCGGCCCCGCCGGTCCGCCCCGAGGGCTGCGCCGGGAGCGCGGCGGGGAGCGCACGGCGGGGCGCGGGGCCGGTGCCCCCAGCCCGGCCGAGATGAGCCCCCTCCTCACGGGCAACGGCAGCGCCTGGGGGGGCTCCGGCAACTGCAGCGGGGCCGGCAGCCTGGGCCGGCAGTGGGTGCTGGGGACCGCCATCAGCCTCACCGTCCTGGTCACCGTGGCCGGTAACTTGCTGGTGATCGCGGCCATCGCCAGGACGCCGCGGCTGCAGACCATGACCAACGTCTTCATCACCTCGCTGGCGTGCGCCGACCTCATCATGGGCTTGCTGGTGGTGCCGCCAGGGGCCACCATCCTGCTGAGCGGCCACTGGCCCTACGGCACGACAGTGTGCGAGCTCTGGACCTCGCTGGACGTGCTGTGTGTCACGGCCAGCATCGAGACGCTGTGTGCCATCGCCGTGGATCGCTACCTCGCCATCACCTCCCCGCTGCAGTACGAGGCGCTGATGACCAAGGGCCGGGCGTGGGCCGTGGTGTGCCTGGTGTGGGCCATCTCTGCCTTCATCTCCTTCCTGCCCATCATGAACCACTGGTGGCGGGACGGGGCGGACGAGCAGGCGGCACGCTGCTACGACGACCCGCGCTGCTGCGACTTTGTCACCAACGTCACCTACGCCATCATCTCCTCCACCATCTCCTTCTACGTGCCCCTGCTCGTCATGATCTTCGTCTACATCCGAGTCTTCGCCGTGGCCACGCGGCACGTCCAGCTCATTGGCAAGGACAAGGTGAGGTTCCTGCGGGAGTCCCCCAGCCCCGCGGCCGGGGGCAGCCGGCGCAGGCGGCCCTCCCGTCTGCTCGCCATCAAGGAGCACAAGGCACTCAAAACCCTGGGCATCATCATGGGCATCTTCACGCTCTGCTGGCTGCCCTTCTTTGTGGCCAACATCATCAAGGTCTTCTGCCGGTCACTGGTGCCGGACCAGCTTTTTCTTTTCCTCAACTGGTTGGGCTACATCAACTCAGCCTTCAACCCCATCATCTACTGCCGCAGCCCCGACTTCAGGAGCGCCTTCCGCAAGCTGCTGTGCTGCCCCCGCCGCGCCGACCGCCGACTCCACGCCGTCTCACAGGACCTGCAGCGCTGCCCCTGCGCCTTCAGCCCTCGGGGGGGGCCTGCAGAGGACAGCAAGGCGGCCCCCGGGCGCCCCGGGGAGGACGGCGAGGCTCGGAGCAGCGGCAGCAGAACAGAGGAGACTTCTCCGCCCCGGGGCAGTGGCCACCGGCAACGGCCCCTGGGCGAGTCCCGGCTGCAGGACGCGCGGAGCAGGCTGAGTTCACAGCTGGATGAGTAGGTACCTGGAGGTGTTTGCTCGGGAGGGGCTCGGGGGGTCCGGTCCGTCCCTCTGGGTTGTGACTGGTGGGGCTGTCAATGGTGGGACTGTGCTCTGACAGTGCAGTGCAGAGCTGGGAGAGCCGCCAGATCCCGGGGTACACGGGAGAGGCTCTGGGATGTGGGACCGGGCACCACTGCCCTCTTCCCTGATGTTCCCCTAAAGCTCTGGCCCCTCCACTGGGCTGCAAAACTGGAGTCCCAACCAGTCCCACTCCAGCCCGCCAGGACCTGGTCCGCTGTTCCTGGGTGAAGGAAACACGGGTGGTGAACAGGGAAGCCAACCAGCTGAGCGGGAATGTGTCCCAAAGCCTGGAATTTCCCCCCCTTCTCTTTCCTATCCCACTTTCTGCTGCTAAAGAAGGAAAACGCGGGGACCCCCTCCGGAGCGAGGCACTGCGGCTGCCGTCGCCACTCTGGGCTCTGCAGCTTGCTTTGCCCTCCAGCGGTGTAAATCTGGGAAGGGAATTCATTTCATCCCGCTCCGTCCCTTGACGGGAAATGCGCTCCCGGAGCCGGCAGCGCGCTGGCAGAGCAGGGGGCTGGCAGGGGCTGGCAGGGGCTGACAGGGACGGCCGTGCTGTGACTCTGCCCTGCCGGCACCCTGACACGGATTTACACCTCCAAATAGCAGGGTGGGGTTTTTCCACCTTGAGGTTTTTTTTAATTAGTATGACAAAGCTGGAGTTATTCTGGTTACTGTGGATTTTAACCGTGTTTCCCTCCTGACGCCCGAGGGCAGCAGGGATGCGCAGACAGAAGTGCCAGAAGTGCTCCCTGGGAAGGATTCACCCACGCTGGGAACACGGGACGGTGGATGGTGGGAGGGGCTGGGCTCTCACCCCCTGCGCTCCCCCATTTCAGGTTTGCTGGCGGAGAGACGCCCGCGGGTCCGTCCGACTGACTGGGAGCAGCCGAGAGCTGGGAGGAGAATGTCCCCCGGCCGGCTCATCACCCCTCCGGCCTCTCCTCTGCCCGCCTTGGCCGCCGCCCTCCCCGGGGACCGCAGCCCCTGGCTGCTGCCCGGCTCCGGGCACGTGAGTCCGGTGTCAGCCCGGCCACGGCTCCCGACACCTCCACACCGCCCCGGGAGCTGGAACCCCCTTGGGCTGCTGCCTCCTCGGCTCGCTGGAGCTGCACACCTCGCGAGTGGTGCTCCTGGATCCCTTCTGTGCCGGCTGAGGTGGTGCCTGTGGGTCCCTGTCCCCAGCTGAGCCCGGTGGGTGACTCTGTGTCACCTCCCACCCTCTCCTTGCAGGGCCGGGCTTGGAGAAGCGGCACCAGGGGTGACGGTGGTGGCGGGACCCTGCACCGACCCGAAGAGGAGGAGGATCTCCTGTGGAAACGCTGGTGGTTTTGGGACGATACCAGCTCCTTCGTGCCGGTGGTGCTGGAGACCTGGAGCTGGGAAAAAGCTCTGGAGCTGCTCGCCAAGGGGCAGCACAGCCTCAGGGATGTGTGCACAGGGGACAAACTCCTGTCTGGGGTGTTCCTGGCACGGCTGGCAGTGGGATGTGGAGACTGCCAGGTCTGCTTTCTTGAAGGACAAAGGAACCTGTCTTCCCAGGCTTGGCCAGTTTTGGACAGTCTGTCGAGAAGGAGAGAAGAGCTTCCTGCAGGCTCAAGCCCATCCCAGGGGTTCCATCCCTGCCCCAGCTGCTGCATTCCAGGGCTGAGTGCAATTCCAGGAGCTGCAGCGATGCCTTCAGCAAAGGAAAAGTTCAGGGGAATGAGGGGAGCTCCGAGCACGGAGGACTTCCAAACCCGGGGAATCAGGACCTTATCAGATCTCTTGGCAGTTTCTCCCTCTCGTTTGGGACAGATGTCGGTGTCCGTGCTGCTCGGGAACGGGAGGTGGATTCTCATCTCACACGCGTGCCCTGCCCCGCAGCACCTTTGGGCACAAGTCGGTGTCAGTATGTTCAGTGCCTGGACAGTTTTTGTCCTGGTTTGTGTCACCCCTGCCATGTGAAATAAACCTCTGGATCTCTGCAGTGCCTCCAAATCTGTCCAGATCAGAAGGTGCCGCTCCATGAGCTGTTCCCGGGTGGCTACCCGAGGTTCGGGGGATCCGTGCCCCCTCCCGGGGCTGTGGCTAGCAGGGAAAAGCCACGGTGCTACCCCTAAGCCCTGCCCCTAAGCCCGCACCCCAGGAGGGCAGGCAGAACTGTCAGAGGTTCCCAGTGCCACCTCCTGGTGCCAGGGAAATCCCAGCTCCTGCACAGGAACTGGACCTGAGATGCTGCAGGGTCTTTGTTCTGCTTTTAACACCCTGCAACGATGAAATCAGTAAATAAAGAGAAGAAATGCAGCTCCGGGGTGTTCCCAATTCAGAGCCTCAGACCCGGCTCTAGTGATACCTGGGCGGCTCATCCCCGGTCCCGGCAGCCGACCCTGAGCACAGCAGGTCCCGCGTGTCCCCCTTGGGCTGGTCCTGCACTGAGGGTTCCAGCCCAACCCAGCCCATGAGCTGCTCATCCGGCCGCAGGAGCTCTGTGCTCACGGGTGACTTCACCAGCAGCGGTGGGTGGGGTGGGCTGGCTCGGGGAACGGGGGTCCCGGGGAGCAGGGGTCCCGGGGAACGGGGGACCCGGGGAACAGGGGACCCGGGGAACAGGGGTCTCAGGGGTCTCAGAGAACAGGGGACCCGGGGAGCAGGGGTACCAGAGAACAGGGGTCCCGGGGGGCAGGGGTCTCGCTGGTGGCCTCATCTCTAATCAAGCTGAAGTGTGCTCCGGTGGGCTGTGGGTGCTGCTGAGGGACGTGAGGGGGTGGTGGGTGCTTTGATGCTGCCCCCAGCTCCCCGCACCTGCTCTGTATTCCCCACCTGCACCTCCTGGGATCCCCCTTTCCTTTATTAGCAGCCGCTGTGAGGGCGGGGGCTCGTTGCCCTGCGGCTGCTGTGGTCTCGGCTGTTGCATTTGCCTTGGAGGATGAACAGCTCGTTTTACTTCTCCCGGTCGCTGTCAGAGGATCGGGCCGTGGCTGCGCTCTGGGGTACGGAGCTGGCAGCCCCAGGATGAGCTGGGAGATGGCGGCTCTGCTCTGCAGGCAGCCGGGCTGGCTGTGACCCCCGCTTTCCCACGGGAGAAAGCCTCCCTTCTGGTTTTGGGTGGGGGGAGCATCTTTCCTCTGCTGTTGGGAGGGGGCAGCCTGTGCGTGCGCAGACCCCGCCGTCTCTCCCAGGCTGCCGGCTGGCCACGGGCGCCCGGAGCTGTGTGGTGAAGGAGGACGATGACTTTTTGGAGCACCTGGTGCTGCTGAGAACGGTGAGATCCGAGCCCTGGGCAGGGCCCTGCCGGAGCTTGGGCCGGCGGCTCCCTGCCACGGGCTCTGTGCTCGGCCCTGCAGATCTGCCTGGGGGCTGAGGCCAGCGACGAGCTGCACGTGGTGGCTGTGGATTCCAAAAACGCCTCCGGGGAGCACAGGCCGGTGCCCATCGCGGCTCTGAGGAGCTCCCTGCTCCCTATGGTAAGAGCAGCCCGCTCGCAGTCTCTGCCCAGGGGTGACACCTGGGGCCGGGGGTCTCTGAGCTGCGGTTCTTTGCAGATCAACCTCAAAGGTCTGGAGCTCGTCCCTCCCGTCACCTTCGTGCTCCAGTGCGGAGCTGGGCCGGTCTATCTCAGCGGGCAGCGCGTCACCCGTGAGTGTCACCAAGCCGTGGGCTCTGGGGTCACTCGGGGGTGCTCCGGGTCCCCTGGGGGCGCTGCCGGCAGCCCGGGCTCGCCGCTCCGGCCCGGGGATGGAGCGGGGGCTGCTCGGGGGGATGGACACGGTGCTCTGCGGCCATGAGGTGCGACAGTGGCAGCGTTCCCAATCCCGGGTGGGGTTTGCAGCGGGGGCGCTTCACCCTCAGTCGGGGTCTCGGGGCCCCCCTGCTGCAGCCCTGCCTCTCCTCGCCCCAGTGGAAGATGGTGCCGTGTCTGAAGCCCGCGAGGAAGAGCTCTCGGAGGAAGATAGGGGCGATGAGGACGATGATGGAGCCTCATAGAACATTGGAGAAGACTTTGGCTCTGGAGCTGAGCTGGTGAGGTGGAGAAGGGGCCATCCTGTGCTGGGAGCTGCCAGCGCCCGTGCCAAGGGCGGCGCATCCTCGCAGAGGGACACAAACTGTGCCGTGCCTTGTCCCCTCTCTGCTTGAGAGCTCCCCTGGCACAGCTCAGCCTCTCCTGCCTTTTTGTGTAGGCAAATTCTAATTAATAAATGCAGGAATGCCCTTTTGTGCATAAGTGACCGATTATTTGATGCATGAGCACCCCATCAGCTCAGCCACGAGCACCCAAGTCATCACGGGAGGGCTAAACAACGCAGACCCGAGCACCCCAGTAAGGTCTTCGGGTGCCCAACTGAGCCCCTGTTATTTCAGGAACAAAGAAAGGGCAGGAGGAAGCAATTCCCCCAAATACATTTTAATTATTTACATTTTCTGCTGTCTCAACGCCTATACCACGGTAAATAGCACAGTTACTGTGTTAATTGCAATGGCTCAAAATAAGTCAAACTCCCCCCAGCTGAGGTGGGCTCTGAGGATTATCTTGGGAGGAAGTTGTGGCGAATGGGGATTTATTTCTGGTTTGTTTTTATTCCCTGCTGCGGCTGGGCTGTTGCAGTGCCCCCCTGAGCAGAGCAAAGAGCGGGGCTCTGGCTGGTTCTGCGGTTCGGGTTCAGCAGCACGTGTTTGACCGTGGGGACTTTATCTCACTCTGGTGTCCGAGTTTATCTCACTCTGGTGTCCGAGTTTATCTCACTCTGGTGTCCGAGTTTATCTCACTCTGGTGTCCGAGTTTATCTCACTCCGGTGTCCGAGTTTGTCGCACTCCGGTGTCCGAGTTT